GACCTGATGTAGAGCCCAGGTCCTCCTTGTTCCAGCCGGGGTGCCTAAGTGGCTCTGTTGTTTAAGTGTCCAATTTAGGCTTAGGTCATAATCTTGAGTTGTGAGTTCCATCCCTGTGTTTGGTTATGTGCTGACAGCTCAGAGCCTGGAGTCTGCTTTGGATTCTGTGTCTCCCTCTCTCTCTGCCCCTCTGTACTCATGCTCTGTCTTTCTCTCCTTCAGAAATAAATAAACATTTAAAAAGTTTAAAAAAATTTTTTTCAATCAACTTCCTACATTTGCATTCACATTGAAAAAAATGGATCCATGCATATATTCCAGGGGATGAAAACTCATTTGCTTTGAGGTTATGAATTAATTGAATTAACAAAAGTGAGTTAAGTGGACTGGGTAGTAGGGCCAACATAAGCTAGGGATCATGGGTTTCATCTAAATCCATTCCCATTCATATCTTTTAGAAATAAAACATTTAGGGTACCTGGGTGGCTCATTCAGTTAAGTGTCTGACTCTTGGTTTTGACTCAGGTCATGGTCTCATGGTTTCATGAGTTCGAGCCCCCTGTCGGACTCTACACTAGCACTTCAGAACCTGCTTGGGATTCTCTCTCTCCTTCTCTCTGTGTCCCTCTTCCACTTGCACTTTGTCTCTCTCAAAATAAAGAAACTAAAAAAAAAATATATATATATATATATATATATATATATATATATCTGTCTCTATATATATACATAGAGATTTATATATATCTATCTGCAGGTAGATTTGCATTGTAAGCTTGTAGTGTTTTTCTGAATTTTCAGTTTCCTCTCTATACGTTAAATGTTGCACAACCTGAATTTATTTTATTTTATTTTTTTATTTTTAATTTTTAATGTTTATTTATTTTTGAGAGAGATACAGAGTGTGAGCAGGGAAGGGGCAGAGAGAGACACACACACAGAATCCAAAGCAGGCTCCAGGCTCTGGGCTGTCAGCACAGAGCCCCACGTGGGGCTCAGACCCACAAACCGTGAGATCATGACCTGAGCTGAAGTTGGATGCTTGACCGACTGAGCCACTCAGGTGGCCCAGATGTTATACAACATGATTTTAATGGCTGGACAGTAATAAGTTGAACTGATCTAGTGTAAAACTGGTCAAGCCGTGGAAGTGGGATTGTTTCCAGATTATCAGCAAGCGTGCACGTACATCTTTGTGCTACCTCTGATTATTTTCTTAGGATAGATTCCTATAATTGGTTTTTGCAGGTCAGAGTATGAACTTTCTTAAAGCTGTAACTGTGCTTGATGCCTTTTCCTGTGCTGGTATTTTCTTTGCCCTAACGTTTTCCTCTCAGCAGGAGATGGTGGGGCAGGCACAGATATGGGCCCCCTTGACTCTCGCTCAGAGATCAGCCTCCTGGAACTACTGCCTCTGTCTCCCTGAGTTGGGAGGGCTGACTAACTTCAGACTAGTTGTCTCTTTGGCTGAGGGAGTTTAGCCCATGTGGCCAGACTGGGTTGGGCTTGGCTGGGGGCAGGGTGGCCTCTGGGGAGGGATTGGTGAGTTCAGCCGAGCTGGAGCTGTGCCCAGTGAGCTCACTGCCTCCAGAAGCCATGACTGCCTTTCCCAGCCCCCTGTCTTGCAGCCTGGGGCTGTAGCTCAGAACTGGCTGTTCTGCCGGCACCGCCACTGCTGTAGAATAAGAATAAGCCTGCAGGGGTGACCTTCTCCCCAGTCTTGCTCTCCACACCCCAGCCCCCACTGTCAGCATCCGGTTCTTTTAGAAAACTTTGTAATTACCAGAAGTCACACTGGACAGGCCTAGAGAGCAATAGGTTGTTTTCACCTCTCACTTTGAGAATTCTTGCCTCTGAAATGAGAGGGACATGCTGATGGTGTGGCTTTTTCTAAGGGCATGTTTTCTTTTTCCTGAATTCCATACTCTTAGAATCCCTGGCTGGGCAGCCATGAGGAAGACAGGATCACAGCTTCTTAATCCCAGGGTCAAGGGATGGTTAGAAGTGGGTGTTTGAGCCTGAAGTGGTGAAAGTAGGCAGTTGTGGGTACTACTGTCCTGAGGACGAGGCCAGTGAAGAAAGGGCCTTGGAGTCTCCCCTCCCATTTTTCAGCTCACAGGTAGAATTGAAACCGCTGAATCATCTTGGGAGGGCCCAGCCTCCACCTGGAGGCCTGAGATTGTAGGAGGTGCATGTCTTGCTGAAGAGCTAGGGTTTGGAGCCCCAGGATAGCCTCCTTGGGTACTTCTGTGGTCAGGAGCTGTCCTGGCTCCAGGCTGGGGTCTTGAGCACTGCACTCCGGGAGCTCATGCCCTGGGCTTATTGCAGGTCTGAGCAGCAGCAGTCCCCTAGAGAGAGAGCAAGAGCCAGTGTGGTCTCTCAGGGTAGCATGCTGGGCGTGGGCTACTCAGTGCTTGGCCTGGCCACATGGTCCCCCAGTCTCTTTCTGGGAGGTGGAGATAGCACCAAATGCCTACAAGACTCATCATCAGCTTTCTGGATGATAAGGGCCAGTGATAAGCAATGAGTGATGAGCTGGGTTCCCTGAGTTGACCACGTCTGTCCCTTGGGCTCCTTAACCTGTAGTGGGGGCCAGAAGTGTGTTTATCTGGCCACCCCAGTGACCCTGGATTAAGGTTTTCTATGTGATTCATTTCCCACTAACTGGTCAGCAAGTCCTCCCTGACTGAGTCTTCTCCTGTGTCCTTTTCTGTTACCATATCTGTCCCTTCTGTCTCTACCAGGTCTGACTGAGTGCTTTGAAACCAGGACTCCCAAACTCTCACATTTAACCAGCATGTGGGAACATTTTTGTTCATTCCAAATGACCAGTAAAGGCAGGAAGTACAGTAAGGAGTAAGAAAGGAGATGTCTTGGGGCTGCTGGGTGGGCCAGTCAGTTCAGCATCTGACTCTTGATTTTTGGTTTAGGTCATGCATGATCTCCTGGTTCATGGGACTGAGCCTTGTATTGGGCTCTGTGTTGATGATGTGGAGTCTACTTGAAATTCTCTCTGTCTCTCTGTCCCTTCCCCATTTGTGTGTGCATGGTATCACTCAAAATAAATAAACTTAAAAAAAAGAAAAGAAAAGAAAGATATGTGTGAACTGGAGCTATCAGGGAGGGCTGCCTGGAGGAAGGGGAAGCAGCCTTTGAGGGAAGGGGCAGGGAGATTGCACTAGTCAGAAACCCTCCAGTAGGTACCTCTCTGGTCCCAGGTGGAATTGTGCCCTTGGATCAAGGGTAACCTCTTGTTCTCACTCTCATTTGGAAGGTTTTATTGCCAACCTCTCTGTGCAGCGGCAGTTCTTCCCCACCGAAGAGGACGAAATGGGAGCTGCCAAGGCCCTGATGAGACTTCAGGACACATACAAGCTGGACCCAGACACAATTTCCAAGGGGCAGCTTCCAGGTACCTTACCTCTCCAGGCCTTACCTGTCCAGTGTGTGTGTCTGCTATGGCGTCTGGACAGGGTCAGAGCCACTGCCAACTTGTAGTTGGCGTACTATCAGGCATACTATCACCTCTGGTGGTGATGCTGTTGGTTTCCAGTGGTGCCAGCACCCTCACTCCCTGGCAGCCGCCTGTCCTCAGCCTCTCTCCCCTCCCTCCCTCACCCTCTCCTTTTCCCTTTCAGAGAGAGCTAAGGCTGCTGCTCAGGACCCCTCAGCCTCTGGCCCCAGAACACTGCTCAGATATGCTTTCACACCTGCTTCTGTCCACACCCTCTGATTTCTTTTTGCCAGAGACAGATCTCTGGACTCACTGCCCTGTGTCATGTGTGTCCTCATTTACAGTGTCTGCCCTGTTCATTCTTGGCCCGCCTCTCTTGGCTCTTATCTGTGAGCTCACACACACTATTCTTATTCATTTTACAAACCCCTCCCTCAGCTGCTGGTGGATCTCTTTGCCCTCCTGGTCAGGCCGCTGGCTAGCCCTCCACATGGTCTGCACTTCTTGGTTCCCATGTCCTCCTGAACATGCAAAGTCTGGCTCTTTGCCTCCCCACCCACCAGTCTTGCCCCTGCCAGGTCACCAGTGGCCACTCAGCTGCTAAAGCCAGTGGATGGGCTTCAGGCATAATGTTCTTTAACTTTTTAGCAGCACTTAGCACACTGATTATCCCAGTTTTCCTGATACTCTTGCTGCTTTGCATTCCGGGGCGTTGATCTCTCCTGCATCTCTTTTCGGCCTCTTGTGCGCACTCTCTCTCTCTCTCTCTCTCCCTCCCTCCCTCCCTCTCTCTCTCTTTTATAAACAGGCCCCTTTCCCCTGATTACCTCAGTATGTTTACAAAAAGATGTATTGGGCTTAGGGGACTGTTAGAGGCCAGTAAACCTAGGGGTTCAGTTAGACCCTATTAGACTTTGGATGCCATTCATTCATGGGGTCCCTGGAGGAGGCATAAACCCAAGATATCACAGTGTGTATGTGAAAGAGGCACTCTCTTGTTGGCTTGTCAAGTTCTAGAGTTCTGGCCCTGAGGAGTCTGGTGAGCCGATGGGAAGGAGTGTAGACCTCTTATTCCTACCTCAGTCAGTTCTTGGATCAAGCCAGGCCATGAGGCCAGAGAGAGAAGGCCCCTCAGGGCACCTGCAAGATCTGTTCACCCTATAGCTGTGAGAATAGTTGGTGGTAAGAGAGAACCACACTCAAGCATTGACTTTGTACATTCAGTTAACAGACCCATGTGTGTCCTGGAGGGGGAGTGAGGGGTGGAAGGGAGTTATTCCCCAGGATTGTCTTAGCTTGTGTTTCTCCCCAAGCACCTTTTCCAGGTGAGCCCAGCCATTGCCGTCACTTAAGGCATCACCTGTACCTGGATGACATCCATCTGTGTGTTCTATCAAGGCTTGTCTCCTGAGCTTCCATTCAGTGTAGGCAAATTCCTGTGGGGCATCTCTACTTGGGTGTTCTGTTTGCACCTCAAAAGTCACATGTTCCAAACTGAAATCCTCATCCCCTTTTGAAATATATATCCTCCTCCCGCCCTCCTTACCTGAACAGAAGGCACATCCATCCACTGGCTGCCCAAGTCAGAATACCAAGGTCTGTGGATTCTACTTCTTTCATGTCTTCTTTACTTAGAGGCCCTGACTTCAGCCTCATGGAGCCTTATTTCTCAACTGCATTACTGAAATATATCATTTTGATCTGTCATGTATGTCTAACGCACTCCTTAAAATCCTTTTCCATGCAGTCATAAGCACATATCTGTTTACATCAGTTCCGGATCACAAAGCTTAACCCAAATTCCACCTATGTATGGTCTTTGAGTCTTGCATGGCTCCCTCTCCCTGGCCTCCTTGCCCATACTTAGTATTAAATTTGTGCTAAGCTACCCACCACTAGCTCCTTTGTCCCTCCCACACCCTCTGCAGAAATACCTTTACCCATGTCAGGTGGGTCTCATGTCTGATTGTCCTTCAGCCCTCAGGTCAGCTGGTACTCTCCAGGGAGCACTCTCCAGGGGAGAGACTTTTGATCAGCTTCTGGGGAGGATACTGAGTATCTGGGACCAAGTATTCTTGACATACTTGGCATTTGTGGGACATGCTGATAGTTGCTACTGATTATTAGCGTCCTAGGGATTATAGAAGACATCTTTATACATTATCTCATTGAATTCTTGCTACAAGTCCTCTAAAATTGATGGTATTAACTTTGACAGGAGGAGACTGAGAGAGAGGCTAAGTAACTTATCCATAGTCACACAGCTGGTGATTGCCATAGTGAGGCCCACACAGACCCAACTTTGTCCAGCTAGCTCAGCTGCTGTGTTATACTGCCTCCATCAGTGTTAGTTCCTGAGCCTACAGAGCCTGAGATCTGTGCAGGCCCAAGGATGATGGCCACGGGCTCAAGGAGCACCTTGATCTCTGGCCTGTCTACTAACTCCAGCTACTCTCCCCATCTTCCTGTCCCACATTGTCTGTTGCTGAGCCATCAGGGCAAGCAGACCCCAGTCTCTGAAGCACCTGACCCATCTCGGACATCAGGCAGAAAGAAACCACGCTAAGCCAGCTCTTCCTGTCACCCATGCCTAAGTTGTTGTTAACGGAGCTAATGGAGACTCCCTCACTTTCCAGGGAGGGTGACAGCCCCTCTTTCCTCTCCATGGGACCTGTTTTCTCATTGTTTCATGAGGAATTCACTCACTGTCCCTCCCATGTTGCCACTGTTCTAAATCCTACACGTTCCCCTAGCTGGCATACCGTATCTTGCCCTTGACTTGAAACTACCTTCATCATCACTGTACAGTGCTGAGCCCATTGCTCACCATGGTCTCCACCACCTAATGGTCGAAGCTGACACTGCAGTCTTGGTTCTTGACCTTCAGCATCTGCCCCACAGCACTCCTGGCGCTCACTGTTTGCGCTACCTCTTAGGTCCTTCTTAGTGTTGTTACTCTTTGTCTTTTCTCTGGAGGTGGTCTGTGGGGTTCTGACCTCAGCCGCCTTCCCTACTCTTCCCTTGTACTCTTGCTGGAAGTGATTATCCTCATCTGTGGCTTTAGCTGCCACCTAAGTTCACCTAAGTTTTCTCCCTCCTAGTTTGATATGGCCAGCTGCCCAACAGACATCTCTGTGGCTCACAGGACCTTCATACTCTCCTGAATACTACTTCTTGGGCTTCTTGGGCTTCTCTGCAACAAAGGCCCCTTCCCACATGGGAGAAGGAGAGTCGTTGGCTGAGAGATTGGCTGGGAACCCCAGTCTGAGGAAGGTCCAGCCTTGCTGTGCTGACTTTGAAGAGCATGGTCTTAAGTCCTGGTGGAACTTGGCTAGGACGATACTCCCCCCCCCCCCCACCCCCGCACTCCACTGGTCAAGGCTTCCTCAATGTGGGGATCTCTCTCCCAGTGCAGAGGCTCTCTTTGGAGCCTGACCAGTTGCCTCTTCTACTGCAGGAACCAAGTACCAGGCAGTACTGAGTGTGGATGACTGCTTTGGGATGGGCCGCTCGGCCTATAATGAAGGTGACTATTACCATACAGTCCTGTGGATGGAGCAGGTGCTGAAGCAGCTCGATGCTGGGGAGGAGGGCACCACAACCAAGGCCCAGGTGCTGGACTACCTGAGCTACGCTGTCTTCCAGTTGGGTGACTTACACCGTGCCCTGGAGCTCACCCGCCGTCTGCTTTCTCTTGGTAAGGGAGTTCTACGGGAAGATCAGAGCTGATGGGGAGCTGGCTGGAGAACTGGTCAGTCTGCTGGCCACCGTACTGGGACTGAGGCATTCTGACAGGTCGCCTGGCCAGTGACTAATGCCTTAACTGCTTTCAGGCCTATTCTAGCTGTCACCTGCCTCTTTATTCAGTTCATTTCTAGCCTTAACCCTTGCCCAGTTGCTGATGGATATACTCACACCTGTGGCCTTACACACTCCCTTTTTAAACAAGAATCCAATGCTGCAGTGCGTCTGCTGCTATACGGGGTAGAGCCTTCTCAGTGTCAGGAACAGCTCAAGAGGCAAGCTGTACTTCAGGGTTTATGCAGTGACAGAGGCCTGTCCCATTAGTTAGAGGTCTGAGGTCATACTGGTGGGACTTGCTATGGCATAGGTATTTAGAGTGTCTTTTGGTGTTGGACTAAAGGGGATCAGATCACTGTGTCTTTTTTTTAAATTTTAATTTGGATTTTTTTAATGCTTATTCATTTTTGAGAGAGAGACAGACAGACAGACAGAGTGCAAGTTGGGGAGGGGCAGAGAGAGAGGGAGATGCAGAATTTGAAGCAGGCTCCAAGTTCTGAGCTGTCAGCACAGAGCCCAACATGGGGCTTAAACCCACAAACTGTGAGATCACGACCTGAGCCTAAGTCGGATGCTCAACTGACTGAGCCGCTCATGCGCCCGAGCAGCGTGTCTTTAAAATCTATCTGTTCCACCTCTTACTAACATATGGAATTATCATAGTCTGGAATTTCATAGACCAGCAGACATTCTTTTGCTGCTGCTTTTCATGAGCCTTGAGTCTGATGTCACCTATTGTATGTGTGTCCGGCAAGACTGATGTGGGAAGAGAGCTTTGTAGGTGCTATCATGTTAGTAAGAGCCTTGGACTGGGAGTCAGGACACCTGGATTCCTTTTCTATATAACCTTGAACTAAATCTTTTGATATCTTTGGGCCTCAGTTTCTTCATCTATGGATTGGCACAGTAATCCTGTCAAGTGTGCTCCTTTGTGTTGTGAGGCACACAGGATGAAGCTCTGGTGTTGTCACGTGGCCGTTCTTTTTGCCAGTATTTCAGCCTGCCTTCTTGTTGTGGACAGCGTGGGATGTGGTCACTAGTAATGGACGTACTCTAGGGCATGGATGTAACTGACTCAGCTGCGTGGGCAGGAGGCCGCAGGAGTCTGGTCTCCTTCTCTAGGTCTGTGCCCGTGGGCCCTTCAGGGAGGCCTCAGAGGAGAGCCCCTGGGTGACTGGCTAAGCGCCCCCCACTGTTGCTCCTTTCGCATCTCTGATGGAGCAGAGAGAGCCTGTGTCGCTTTCCCCTCTCTGACCAGCGAGCCTGGTTAGGTGCTCTGGAAAAGCAGTACACTGCATGCAAAGTGAGCTGCCGGGAGAGAAAACCACTTACAGGATAATTTCCCTAAGTGACCTAACAGATGTTTGTGGTTTCCTTTTCCTTCTTGTTCTTTGCTCTTTCTAGACCCGGGCCATGAACGAGCTGGAGGGAATCTGCGGTACTTTGAACAGTTGTTGGAGGAAGAAAGAGAAAAAATGTTGTCGAATCAGACAGAAGCTGGGCTAGCAACACAGGAAAGCATCTATGAGAGGCCTGTGGACTACCTGCCCGAGAGGGATGTGTACGAGAGCCTCTGTCGTGGGGAGGGTATCAAACTGGTGAGAAAACGTGGCTGGATGCTATGTGCGGACCTAGACTTCAGCTTTGGATGAGCAGATTTGGGGAGGGTGTTCCTGTGTGTCTCTGCTGTTTCCTCAGCTTCTTCCCCAGTTGTTTGTAGCCTCTGCTGTGGCTGACCTGTGGGTGTTCTCTGAGGTAAAGGACTGTGAGACTGTTTCTCCTGATGTTCCAGGCAGAGTTTCTTTCTTTCTTTCTTTCTTTCTTTTTTTTGAAGTTTATTTATGTATCTTGGAAGAGAGACAGAATGAGTGAGGGAGGGCAGAGAGAGAGAGGGGAAGAGAGAATCCCAAGCAGACACCACACTGTCCACGTAGAGCCTGATATGGGGCTCAAACTCACAAACCCTGAGATCATGACCTGAGCCGAAATCAAGAGTTGGACACTTAACCAGTTGTGCCACCCAGGCACCCCACAGGCGGAGTTTCAATTCTGTAAGTTCTTACCCAGCTTCCCTTCCCCTCCCAGCCTGCCCAGCTTTTGCTTGACCCATGCGGTGAGGAAAACCGTGAGTGTGGATGTGGCCCAAGGGGAGTCGTGGTCAGTGTAGTAAAGACATGACAGTCACTACAGCTTAGTCTTGGGTGTCACCGGCTTTTGAGAGCCCTGGGATTCCAGTGCTTCCTCCAGGAGGCTCAGGTCTGAGACGGTCTCTGGGCCTTTTCCATGCCCACATCTGCTTGCCTCCCACTGGCTCCTCCACCTGGATTGGTTGTCCCCAGCCTCAGCCCTTCTGACCTTCTCTTATCTCTGTGGAGGGGTCAGGGATCACCCTGTGCCACAGCACTTGTGGACATGAGGAATTCTTGGAAGAGGAGGAATGTTACATGATTTGTGGGGAATCGTTTCTCTCACTTAAGCTGAGGGGCTCTTGTTTTCTTCTATGGTGGGGCAGGAGGGAGTAGCTCTTGGACACAACGTGTGAGACCAGCGTCTGTACCCAGCCAGCCTGGGGCTGAGGATTAAGATGCACTTTGCTCAAAGCCTCTTGCTCTGTGTGTTCTCCAGACTCCCCGGAGGCAGAAGAGGCTTTTCTGCAGGTATCACCATGGCAACAGGACGCCGCAGCTGCTCATCGCCCCCTTCAAAGAGGAAGATGAGTGGGACAGCCCGCACATCGTCAGGTACTATGATGTCATGTCTGACGAAGAAATCGAGAGGATCAAGGAGATCGCGAAACCCAAAGTAGGTGTCTGCAGTTCCTTCCTGGGCATCTCATCCCTGGTACTATGGGGTGATTTCTTTGTTTACTCAGCTGGCCTTTGCTGATACTCAGCATGAGTCGGCTGTTTGGATGCTGAGATACGGCGCACTCAGTTTGACCTTGTGGGTTCCTGGTCCAGTGGTGAAGAAAACTGAAGGAGCCAATGTGAAGAGCCAAGAGCTAGGACAAAAGGGCTCACTGGTTTTTACTGGTTACATTGTTATATTAGGTCTATAGTGTTAAGTTATTATATGCTAAAGTATAGATTATAAAAATATGTTTTAGTAATAGTTAATGTTTACTGAGTTCATAAGTATGACAGGCCCTGTTCTGAGTACTTAACATATATTAATTATCATGTTTGTTAAACATATTATGTCATTGTCTTCATTTTACCCATGAGGGAACAGACCTGTGTAGATTGCAGCTGGTTGCTCAACTCACTCTTTCTTCTTTGGGATTTTAGCTGATTCTCTTGGGTCATCCAGA